ATACGTTGGTTATCATCAAGTCTAGCCATACATTTGTCGGTTACAAGTTTATTACACAACAACTAAAAACACAATAAAGCAAAATACTTGTTGACAACGCCAAAATACTACACCACGAATCTACACTATTTACATTATTCAGATTATTGTCCTCATATTTGTTGCCATATTTATCACAACGTTTCTGCAGTTTTACGTTCCGGCTTTCTTCAAGTGATTGGAACGTCGAAGTGAACCGTTTATTTCGTTCGCAGGGGTAGACTTTTCTAGTTCCACGTGCCATGTCTAATGGATGTCAATTATCAGTTATCTCCTGTTAATTCACCTCTCCAAGTTCTCCAATGCCTTAAGCAGGTATTGAACTCACAACTCTTTCGGTCCTGTCACTGGATCAATGTGTCATGTGTCCTTAAGGATATGGCACACTGGATAAAGGCGTTGGTTAGATCCAGTACTGTATATAATGTACATAGTGCCTAATCTCAGAAATATAGACAGATACTCCACGAAGCTAATGAACGAAAACTACAAAATTTCGAGGCTCTGTATATCAAAATCATCCACGCAACAGCGAATTTATTACTAGTATGTAATGATATTTGGCATTTCTACCAATTTACAGTTAGCTCCCTTATGTTGATTGAGACGCTTGTTTTGCAAAAAAAAAAAAATCCAAGCGATAAATCAAAATCTTAAAACAGAGTGCATTTGTACGTGTCTTTTTTTTTTCGCTTCCCGACAGTAATCGAACCTTCAACCCTCATGGGAAAATGCCATTTGATCTGACGTGCTGCTACCATTCAGCCACAAAGAAGTGATGGGTTAGCAAAGTCCGAATTACTGTTTATAAACACACACATCCGAAGATTTTTCTGGTTACGAAACGTATCTTAACGTAAAAAATGACAACCTATTATGAAAAATATTATAAAATGGATCGATCGAGAAAAGTCATCGAATGTGCGTCTTTTTATAAACAATAACTCAGACTTTTCTAGCCAGATGCTTCTTTGTGGCTGAATGGTATCACCACGACAGGCTTAATGTCGGTGTTCCCATAAGGGTTAAAAGTTCGATTCCTGTCGCAGAACGCATAGTTTCTATAAAATTTCTTGAACATTCAAACGGTAAATTTAATTAATACTGTTTAATTAAAAACGGAGCATTTACTTAAATAAATTATAACTATAAAAATAACGTATAAACAGAATATATATATATATATATATATATATCCAACATCGATAACACAATTCGGAGTTTCATGCACAAAGAAATATTCAGGTACCGAGTATAGACTACTGAATGTAGATATTGACCTCTGTTATATTAATCCCAGAACTATATGTGCAATATATTATAATCATATATATATATATATTTTTATATATATATATACATATATATATATATATATATATATATATATATATATATGTGTGTGTGTGTGTGTGTGTGTGTGTGTGTGTGTGTGTGTGTGTGTGTGTGTGTGTATTCAAATGTAACCAGAACGAAAACATTCACATAATTAATTTAAAAAGAGGACTCAATACCAAGAGTAGAGCAATAGTTATTTATTAAAAAGATGTTACATACGGACAAGCATGTACTCACGACAAAGAGGCATTTTTGTTTCGATGCGACTGCATCTCGATAGCTGAGGAACAAACCATCTGTCGAGATGCGTTGGCATCGAAACAAAAATTCATCTTTGTTGTGAGTTCTTGTTTGTCCGTATGTAACATCCTTTATAATATATATATATATATATATATATATATATATATATATATATATATATATATTATCTTCTGTTAGTGTGCTTAAGATATATACCATCTCAACTTACATGATAAAAAGAGAAATTCAAATATGAATCCAGGCCATAAAAATTATGCCCAAAATATATAGAACACGTTATTTTATCATTTATATTACCATTACCAGGTTCGTCGATATAAAAACGGAAACTGAAATATTTATAAGATCGCTTAAAACACATCTGATAATATATTTTGACGCATAAATACTACAATTTTTTAAAATTATAAACGTTAAGATTTTTTTTATATTATTTCATGTAAATGTGATGCATACCTAAAAAAATAAATTCAATAGGAGTAGCCACAGCCTGGTTGTGAAAGAAATAATGTTATACATGTTTTTATTTTGTTAAGTTCATTATCGTTTCTCTAGTCCTGTTTGTGCAGTCCGTCAACCAGCCATCTTTTTTTTTTTTTTTCTTATCGGTGGACACAATTTTCAATGTCTTTTCAACATTACGAGTGCCAATGAAAAGAAAATAAATACTTGAATCTGGAAAATTAGGATAAATATTCGAAGAATAAAAAAGAAACACGTTGGGAACATGGCTGAGATTAAATAAAGGAAATGTAAGATAATGCGAATGAAAAAAAAAACGTTTAAGCGCTAAAAAGAAAGAAAGAAAGAAAGAAAGAAAGAAAGAAGGAAGGAAGGAATGAAAGAAAGAAAGAAAGAAAGAAAGAAAGAAAGAAAGAAAGAAAGAAAGAAAGCAAATTGTATGAATAACATGAATTACACATAAAAAGACGCTTGGTATGGATAGAAAATATAACGTTTAGAAAGAAAGAAAGAAACATGAAACAAAGAAAGGAAAAAATGAACAAAGAATAAGAAACAAAAAAATCGAAGATGAAAGACAAAGCTAAAAGGAAAAGAAGGAAGGAAAAAGAAAGAAAAGATGTTTGAATGAATGAATAAATAACAGATAATGAAAGAGTTAGGAAAGAAAAAAGAAAGAAAGAAAGAAAGAAAGAATGAAATAAAAAGAAAGACAGAAAAGATAAAGAAAAAGATAAATAAAAAAAAACAAAGACAGAAAAGGAAATGGAATTAAATAAAGAGAGAAAAGAAAGAAAGAAATCTAGAATGAAAGAAACTAAAAATCAAAATGAAACAAAAGAAGGAAATAGAAATAAAGAATGAAAAATTGAATGAAAGAAAGATAGATACAGTAAAAGATAGGCAACAAGAAAGAAAGAAATAAACAAAGAGGATATGGGATAAATGAAGGAAAGAAGGATTAATAAAGAAATATAAACAAAGATACAGGAATAAAAGAAACATACAAATGAAAAGACGGGAGTAAAAAGAAAGAATGAATGAAAGAAATAAAAATAAAGAAAGAAAGAAAGAAAGAAAGAAAGAAAGAAAGAAAGAAAGGAAGAGAGAAAGGTGAAAATCATTATGATAATGAAGAAAGAGGGAAACAGGAAAAGGAATTAAAGAAGGAAAGAAAAATGTTGGAAAAGGAATTAAAGAAGGAAAGAAAAATGTTGAAAGAAAAGGAAATCGAGAAACAGAATGGAAACAACAGACAAACAAATAGAAGGAAAAAGAAACAAAGAAATTTACAAAAGGAGAAAGAATGATTAAAAGAAAAAAAAAGACAAAACATAATAAGGATAATTTTTTTTTTTTAAAAATGATAAAGAAAAATAAATTGAATTTAAAAAAACAAACGAAAATTAAGAAACAAAAAGAAATTAAATGAAGGAAACAATGAAAGAAAAAACAAGCAAAAAGGTAAAGAAAAAGAAACAAACAAAGAAATACAGAAAAAGAAGAAAGCAGAAAAAAGAAAATATGAAATTCGAAAGAAAGAAAAGAGAAAGATAAAGAGCAGGATAGATAGATAAATAATTAATTAAGGACGATAGATAGATAGATAGATAGATAGATAGATAGATAGATAGATAGATAGATAGATAGAGGAACCGACTGAGATAGATAGATAGATAGATAGATAGATAGATAGATAGATAGATAGATAGATGAACCGACTGAGATAGATAGATAGATAGATAGATAGATAGATAGATAGATAGATGAACTGACTGAGATAGATAGATAGATAGATAGATAGATGAACAAACTGAGATAGATAGATAGATGACCGACTGAGATAGATAAATAGATAGATAGATAGATGAATAGATAGATGATGACCGACTGAGATAGATAGATAGATAGATAGATGGATGGATGAATGATAGATAGATGAACAAACTGAGATAGATGGATAGATAGATGGATAGATGAACCGACTGAGATGATAGATAGATATAGATAGATATGATAGATGATACATGGATGGATGGAGGAACTGAGATAGATAGATAGATAGATGGATAGATATGGATAGATGGGTGAGATAGATGGATGATAGATAGATGGATGGATGAATGATGGATAGATGGATGATGAACCAAGATAGATAGATAGATAGATGGATAGATAGATGAGATAGATAGATGGATGGGGTAGATATGGATAGATGATAGATGGATGGATAGATAGATGAATGACTGAGATAGATATGATGGATAGATGGATGGATGATGACTGAGATAGATAGATGGATGGATAGATAGATGGATAGATAGATATGGATGAACCGATAGATAGATAGGAATAGATGGATGAGATAGATAGATGAATAGATGAGATAGATAGATAGATGGATAGATAGATGGATAGATAGATAGATAGATAGATAGATGGATAGATAGAACTGACTGAGATAGATAGATAGATAGATAGATAATGATAAAGAAAAAAGAAAAAAAAAAGCTAAAGGAAAGGCAAGATAAAGATAAAAAAAAAAGAAAGAAGAATAATAAGAAAAAGAAAGAAAGCGTCAGACGTAATGATGGCACAACGGACGAAAGTCTACAATTTACTAAGGAACAAAGGAAGATGAGAGATAAAAAAAAAACGACAATATGTGACCATAAGAAAATATAAAGCATGCAAAAAATGCAGTAGAATCTGCAGATGCACTGAAAGCATTGTACTGGAAGAAAACAAATTCCAGAAAAAAACATTTTTTTTTTCTCTTGAAGGCAAAAATACCCAGATTCAAAACTCGATCATCCTGTTGACAGATATCGAGAAAAATATTGACGATGGAAGAGTCTTCGAACAACTTTGGAAAGAGTTTCTCGAAAGATCCGCATTCTTTGATTTTTGTCTCGTTTTATTTCGGCTTCGTTTTGCTATTTTCTTAAACCGAGTGCGAATAAACCTTTGAGAAGTTTTTTTTTTTTTTTTTTAACGTTACGTCGTCTCTCGCCCGAGATTCATGTTTATTGACAAGCGTCGAAAATGTAGTGCCACAAGGCGATGTTTTCCTCAGAAATGTGTTTCTTTATGTTTTTTTTTTTTTGTTTTGCCATTTTTTCAATTATCTCAAAACAAGTAAGGCAATAAAGCCAATGAAAACGGAAGGGGTTACTGAGTGTTACAGAATATAAGAAAAAAACACTCTGAAGAGAGAACAAAAAGAATTAAGAAGACAGAAGATTGAAATTGCATTTAAAATTTTGATGATCAAAATCGACTGGAAAGCCAGAAGCCGAAAAGTTCAAGAGAAGAAAATGTTAGTATAGAACTTACTGTTACATCTAGCCATTTCTAATGTAAAATAATGAGACCTTTCCGCTTGTCTATTATTGAGCTTAAATCCAGTGATTGTAGTTACCAAAGACGAAAAATTATCCGAATAATTACCATTATCCGAACAATTAAAATATTTGTAGAATGGCACAAGGAAGCTACGTTACGGCAGGGGAAAAGTAACTGAAGTATAAATGCCAAGTCAGGACCAATGAAATTGCAGATTCTTTAAATTATATCAAAAATATCTAAATATATAGCAGGAGCACCACACCAGATAAGGGCTAATGGCAGATCATTTTTGGCGGGAAGAAGTGTCTAGAACGATCTAGCGAACCAACTTTCCTGGCGGCTGTGGTAGCAATAGATTCAAATATAATCTTTTCAGAGTCTGTCTATATTTCTGAGATGAGGTATTATGTACATTATTTACATTATTCGGACTATTGTCCTCATCTTTGTCGCCATATTTATCACAACGTTTCGTGATAACTGACATCCATCAAACATGGCACGTGGAACTAGAACAGTCTACCCCGGTGAGCGAAATAAAGGGTTCAGTTCGACATTCCAACCACCTGAAGAAGGCCGGAGCGTACAGCGGCCGAAACGCTGTGATAAATATGGCGACAAAGATGAGGACAATAGTCCGAATAATGTAAATAACGTATAATCTTTTCATTTCATATCAGCGAAAAACGTTAGTACGAGACGGTTCAATGGTTTAATCTCCTAAAGTTAGCATCAGCCATGTTGATAGAAAGGCAAACGTGGTTCGCTGAGACTATTCCCGCGAAAAATGAGCCTATCTGTGAAAGTATTACCTTTATTACTAAGCACTGCTTATCTGTTGGTTTATTAGAAATTATATTGCTAGAAATGTGGAGATGATCGTTTTTCAACTTCTGCGTCAAATACGCCAAGTCTTTTATCATGATACACCCACTGAAATGTCAACTGTCTCTTTTCGAATACAAAGTAAAGTGGCCATTTTTTATTTGTTTTTATTTTTCCTACTCATTGATCACGTGCTCTGTCCATAAAATTTTTTTGGTCCTTCTAACAACCACATCATGTTGCCCCAATTCACCTCTTTCTGTGTGAAAAAAAAATGAATAATATTCACTACAACAGAATGGTTGATATGATATAGACTTTCAGCACTCTTCTTTATTTCTAACGAAGGTTTCCTGTCCATTACACTTTACTTAACATCTAGAACGAAACTAAGCAGCATTCTATTAATTGTCTGAGAGTACCCTTTCTGCCTTCCATCGGTATGGCTGGTGCTAGCCTCCGTCAGAGTGACTTATTGTGCCATCTCGGGCTAACGTTTGCCAATTGATGTGAAAGATTATGTCAAACCGATTGCTAGGTCTACTTCTAGGAAAGTTGGTTCACTGTATTGAGCTAGACAGTATTACCTCGACAGAATCTATCTCACATAGTTATAAATCTACCATTCGTTTTTGCTCATAATATTACTGTCAGATATGGTCTGGTATTCCTGTTACATATTTAGAAATCCCTGATAAAATCCAACGAAGAATATGAAATATTATTGGTCCTGGTCATTTCATCTCGACTTCAATTAATTTCCCGCCGCCGTAATAAATCTTCCTTAGGCCGTTTATAAAAATAATTTCATGGTAAATGTTCTGATTGACTCTCTTTTACGGTACCTAGTCAGTCAGTTATCTGCTATGAGTGATACACGCTTATTCGATCATGTATCTTTCGATACATGACTGACTAGGCAGATTTTTTTTCCCGGTGTAGGTTGCCATTTCTTTCCGCTGTAGACCAGTTGCCATCAAAGGCTATAGAACCCGGTCTGTCCTGCTATTTACCCATAACTGGGTGATGAGAAGCAGAGGGTTCATACCTTTTCCAAGGTTATTAGCACATAAATGAATGTAATGGATTCCAATGGAATTCGAACTCGGCTCTCCGATTCCTCAATCTGAGCCACTATCCATTACTCCATAATGGTATCGAGACTATGAATTTACGCGCATTACTATTTTGATTGCAAGTTCTCGTCATTTTACAGTTGAAATGGCTAGATGTATGACGTAAGTTCTATGCTAACGATTTCTTTTCTCGCATTTCTCGTGTCAGGTTTGATCTTCTAAACAGTAAATGCAATGTGAATCGTTATCCTCTGTCCTCTTACAGTCTGTTCTTTTTATTGTTTTCTCTCATTAATAATGTTTTTTTCTTATACTCTTCTACACTCAGTGACCTCCTGCCTGTTAGTTGTTGTGTTGCCTTGCTTGGAATGAAATGATTAAGAAAAGAAACCTTTAGGTAATTTCCATTTCTGAGTTCTGTTAAAATACATCCTAGATAATTACAATTGTGTATCTTGAGAGATAGGTTTTTTACATACAATTTCATTGAAAAATTCTAATCCTCACTCCGAAAGAAAGAATCATAGCTGAACATATTAGAAAACTAATTCAAATGCATGTATTAATTTCTGTTCAAGTATGGCCCATAAAATCGTGAGAGCTGTGCAACAAATCTAAAACTGACAAAACCGGACCAAGCAATCATAAAACATCTGAAAAAGAAAGGGTGACACCCGAAGAAATCCATGAGGACATGGTACATGCACTTGGTGAGGGCAGCCCAGAAGATGATTCTCGGTCAGGTTATCAAGAAAAACTCAATCACTGATGAAAACTTTGATGCTATTTGCCGTGTGGTTTTAAACTAACAAACGTCTTACTACCCAGCAGATAGCTAAGTCGTTAGGCATTAGTTCTAGTTGAGCCTATGCGTTCTTCTAACTGAAATCTTGGGAATGAGCAGGCTGTCTGAAAGATGGGTCCCAAGATCAGAAGCTGAAAAGGATTAACATTTACAGGACACTTCTGACTTGCTTCCAGCTCTACCCGTAGAATTTCCATTGCAGATGAGTAACTCAAGAAGAAAGCTGGGTTCACCATTTCGAATCTGAATCAAAGATTCAAAGCAAACTCAATTCAAAACACTCTGGTTTTCCATCTCTGAAGAAAGTTAAGCAAGCAGCTTCTGTTAGTAAGAGGATGGCTTCTGTATTTTGGGATTCTGATAGATTACCTGGAAAGTGTAAAAACTATTAATGGATAATGCTATGTATCAGAATTAAGACAACTGAAGGTAACAGTCAAGTCAAAACGCAGACAGAAGCTGAGGACAGGTGTGCTCTTGCTCCAGGATAACGCTCCTGTTCATACTGCTCAGGTTGCAGTAGATGAAGCATCCATCTGTAGCTTTGAATTGAATACCCCATTCCCTTTATTCTATTTGTCTTCTTCCTGTTCCTTAAACTCAAATCCTACCTGCGTGATCGCCATTTTGGAAACAATGATGAGACCATATATGCTATGGAGTGGTTTTTGGATGAGCAGGACGCCATCTGCTCCGTGATGGGATTGCAATGTTTAAGCATCGTTGGACCAACTGCATTGATGCCAAGGTGAATTATATTGAAATATGGTGAAAATATATCTTGTTTTTTTTTGCAATTCTTTGAGTTTGTTCGAAACCCACAGAGCGCACCTATGTTTTTTTTTTATTACTGCAACTATGCTGAGCGGACTTTAGTTACAGTTTCTTGAGGATAACGCATAACGCATCGAGAGCATCAGACTGAACAACACCAGTAGGCTGAGCTACAAGCTTTATAAATACCATTTAAAACGAAATACAGGGTTTTTCTCCCAAAATTGATATAATTTGGTTGTTTAATAATATAGCCAATTCTCGTTCAAATGTGTAAAAACTATTAATGGATAGTACTATGCATCAGAATCAAGTCAAAACACCAAGAGTAGCTGAGGACAGGTGTGCTCTTGCTCCTGGATAACAACCCTGTACACACTGCTCAGGTGACAGTAGCTGAAGCGTCCATCTGTAGGTTTGAATTGCTATCCCTTTCCCCTTATTCTATTTGACTTCTTCCTGTTCCTTAAACTCAAGTCTCACCTGTGTTTCCGCCATTTTGGAAACAATGATGAGACCATATATGCTGTGGAGTAGTTTTTGGATGAGCAGGACGCCACCTGCTCCGTGATGAGATTGCAATGTTTAAGCATCGTTGGACCAACTGCATTGATGCCAAGGTGAATTATATTGAAATATAGCGAAAAAATGCCTCGTTTTGCCAACTCTTTCTGAATGAGACTTATAACGTTATGAACGACCCTCGTAAATATAAGTCCAAGCTTCTTTTTTTTTTAATCTTTACTCTCAGAGACTAAACCGCTAATCAAATATCACGGAAAACTAGTCTCAGGCTGATAGAGAACTTGACTCCCATTAAAGAGAAAAGAAATACGGTAATTTCAACCTCGAAAATCATATAGAAATGCGGTCGAAAATGCATCAGGCCACCTCTTCTGCACGTCTCTATATGAAAAAACGATATAGAAAAATTGGGAAGATGATGTATTGATTGTGAAGCTGAAAGACGACTGCAGTTATTTCTACACAGGGTACTAAAGAAATTCGAGAAGAAAAGACTAAATATCAACTGTAACACACTATAAAATCATTAGCAAGATGAATAGTC